GTGTCTCCTGGGTACAAGTCAGAGTGTGTGTGCATGTACACACGTGTATTTGGTGTGTCCCACATGTCCCCAACAGTTTTTTTGTGAATGAAAAATTAAATCACTGTTCATCAAAGTAAAAACACTTACGGTGCATGCGTAAATCACTATTTTTATTCTTAGTAGGTAACTTCCTTTCTTCCCACTGCATTTTTTTTCTCCTAAATGAATAAACCTTACGCAGGCAATTTTCTATTTCTTTGTGACTCCTTGTTCTCATCTGCAAATTCTTTGGTGCATGTAAACGTTGCTTTCCCACTCCTCTAACCTGTTCTTTTTTTTCCTATTCTTGGAATTAGTTGGATAGGGGAGAAAACACAGCTGACCGACGGCTTTGAAAATGTTAAGCAAAATGAATCTAGTGTTTAACTGAGTTGAACTAAAACGTGACTTCTTGAAAGAAGTTTGCAAAAGATTTGAAAGACCTATTGATCTGAGCAGAAGGCGCTCAGGGCGCTGTCACGCCATAAGCCAGCCTCTGGGATCACCTTCAAGTTGACATCCGTCAGCATTCGCTGAGCTGGCTGAACCCTGCTCCTTTTAAAGACTTAGGGGCCATAATCCCTCAGCTAAATGAGATGGTAAGACCAATATTAGAGGTAGATTTCCAAAGTAGTGCTTGGGGGATTTCGCTGCGTCAGAGTTTTGCAGGGGAATTGAATGCTCGGTGGAAAGCCATTGCAGCTTGTATTGCACCCAGCACTTACTTCCAGGAGGCTTCTGTCCTTTCTAGCAAAAATTCTCCATTTGAGAGGTGAAAAGTGTTTTATTTTCTTCTTGAAGCCCTTTGTTGACACACCTTCCGGAGAAGGGGCTCGCTGAGAAATCAGACAGGTGTTGCCTGATGGTAGCTGGCGTGTGCGTATTGTGATACTGAATTACCAGCCGGGGTGCCAAGAGTGGGTAATACAGTATGTCTGCACAGGCAGGTGGGGAGGGGAGGGCAGGGCTGCAGGCACTGGAATGTTTTCTTCTTTCCTTTTAAAACATATTATTAAGCAAAAAGCTAAATTCACTGTTGTTCTAAGCAATCTCTTGAAGTCTGCTTATTTGGGCATGATGTGCAGCACTTGAACCCCAAAGAAAAGTTGAAGCCAAAGCTCTTTCCTCTCGCTCTCGAACGGATAACACGTCGCCAGGCTCCACTCCTTTGTTTTAAATAACTTTCTGGTCCATATGTCTGGTAGAAATGGTGTTCCTGCTCCTCAGGCTGTTGGCGCAGCTTTTGTTCCTGCTGCTAGATCATGCCTGCTGTCATCTCACTGAAGGACAGGTTTGTCGACAGGGTCAAGCTCATTTTTGATATTTTTGCTCCTAATTAATTTAATTTTCCTACACTGGCAAGTAACAGAAGTGTGTTGATTAATAGTCATGCTCTGGATTTCTGGGAATTGCTGGTCTCGTCATCTTACCCCTCATACAGTCAGCGTTTGTCAGTTCCCGTAGCAAAATGGTGGGCAGGGGGATTGTCACCTTCTGTGAGGTGGGGAGGTTTGGGGACTGCCAGGGAGAGGCACCCGTGCCGAGAGGGGCAACCCTTGCTTGCAGGCACTCTCTCAATGCTCAGACAACTCCTGCCTCAGGGTTGGAGTTTTTTTTCTGATGCTTATTTGCTTTGAAATCTATATACAATATCCTGTCTTGCTCCGTGGATATAGCGATTATCACCGATCCAGTACGAAGTCACCATGACCTAGTTGTTGGCATCTATTTATGCCAATAGATGGCTGGGCGTCAGGTTACCCACGGTTGCAGCAAACTTGGCAGGGTGGGAAACTCAAGCCCCTTACTGTCCGACAGCAGGTACCCCGTGGACAGATTTACACCGGTGTTAAATGACTTGGCCGCTCAGCGATTACGCACTCGCAGGCGGCAGCGCCTGGGGTAGATGTGAAATTGTGGCTGTGTGCTGCGGCCCTGAGCCCTGTATAGTGCCCATGAGGTTTGAACTCCTCTTGCAATCGGGTGACAAAAAAAGGTGGTGCAGCCCTCCTGCTCTCTTGTCTGTCTCTGTGCTGGGCACTGCCGCCTGCCTCCCTGTGCCCTGACCCTGTCCCAAAGCGGAGGCGGGCTCCTGGTCACCCTCCTTCTCTGACGTGCCAAGTTCAAGGTGCTGGCCAGAGCCTGGAGCTCTTGAGTCTGCCCTGTGTTTTGGGGACATGTGTATATCTATATATATATATAGAGAGAGAAAGAGATATATATATATGTATTTGTTGTGTGGGCTTGTTCATCATAACCTATTAGCCCGTGGCTCTTTGCTTTTGTGAATTTAAGCTGCAGTTCTGATGCCTGCCCTGCTGGTCGCAGCCAAAGGGGTCTGGCGGTTGGGGAGCTGAAGGATGGGTGAGGAGCAGATCCCTTCCTTGCTCTTTCACCTGCAGCCTCAGTATTCACGCTGGTGTTGGGCACCGATCCTGTCCTTCTGAAATCAGCGATGATTATTATTATTATTATTATTTTCCCCCCCTTCTTGTAACCCCAGCTATCCGTCTTTGAAGATATTATACATAAGCTTACAGTCAACGCCAACACTCCTGATCTGTGACCGAGGGGTGTGTATCTCCTTCCATTTGTTCAATTCTCTGAATGCCTGCAGACACCGGACACGTTGGCTCCTGGCGTGTGCCGTGCCCTCCCTGCGCCATCGCACTCCCATATTTATGCTTGCTTTTCAGCCCACCGCCTTTGGGTGCCCAATTTCTTTACACTTCAATGATGTTAAGGCATCCAAGCGATTAGCTGGCTTTTTGAGATTTTTGAGGCTTTGTCCTTAAAACCTTCACAATGCTATTAGCAAACTGATGCGTTGAGGGAAACAATGCTTTCTAAATTTTCTTCCTCTTTCAAATAGAAGTGATTCTTTTCCTGCCACTTGAGATGAAAAGACAACATAGTGAGCTCACTCTTACCTTCAGTAAGGAATTGCTTTTTAATTAAAAAACAATAAGGAATTTCAAGTTAAAAAGATGTACGATATAAATCACCAACTAGATCTGTTTCGCAACGTTTTTTTTGTAATTGTTTGGCATGTTCCCCATTTCCGCGGGCTGGGTAAATCCTTTGTGGGTTTAATCTCTAGCCTGCAGGCACATAAAATACATTGCACAATTTGGCCTTTGCATTTTAAAGAATTTTTTTTTTGCTTAGCTTAAATACCTGTAGCATCTTCTTTGCCATATGCCAGGGTGGCGTTGAGTGAGGAGGGAAGGGACCTGCTTGGCTTATTTTTAATCCCCCTCTCCTCCACGGTGTCTCTCTCCCAACTTTGGTTTTTCCTATGTTAGCAATGTATACGCTTTGAAATGCAAATAATCCCTGAATATTGCTAGCTAATCCTTCAGTTGCCACGTCACCCACCACCCACCCATGCATGCGCCAGTTCTTCCCATCCCGGCAGGGTGGATGGCCAAGTTGTGCTCCCGACCTGTATGAACCTGTCGGTGCTCTGTTTGAACAGTCGGGACCGGGGCTGTATCGGCCACGGCTGCTAGAGACGTTTTTTGAGACAACAGCCACCTTGGGGCTCTCACTTTTCTTTCTCTGCAAGAACCGAAGAGATGGAAGTGGGGAAATGCCAACAATTCCTGTGGGTTACGTGGTTAGAGTTACTGGGAGAGCTCCGCGTTTGCGAGTGTCTGAGAACTGGGAGAAAACTGAATGCCTCTGGAGTGGGGTACTGATGAAAACTTCTGTATTTTGGAACAACACTGTACGGCAGAGGAGACTAGAGGGTCTCCTTCACAGGGGACATCCAGAAAAATGGGTTCACGTTACATTGTACCCAACCACATTGGAGTTTCCTTGTGACCGTTCCTGCTAAGCACATGCCCTTATTTCAGTGTGGGTTTTTGAACAGAAACCAATGACTTCAGCCCACGCCTTGATGTTTTGCTGAGTAAAGGTTTCCAGATGTGAACACACTTCAGGAAAATACTGCACCGGTGTTACTGCTTTAGTGGGGAGCATCTTAAAAGATCCCTAGAAGTGTCCAAGGTCAGGCTGGATGGGGCAACCTGGTTTACTGGGAGGTGTCACTGCCCACAGCAGGGAGGTTGGAACTAGCTGACCTTTAAGGTCCCTTCCAACCTAAATCATTCTGTGAAAAGAAGGGAACCTAATATGCTCCAAATTAGCACAATGAATAAAAGCATCTTGTTCTGCTCCAGGTGTTCTTGCCCACCCCAGGGTGGTCACAACTTCCCTTTTGGACACAGCTCCTGGACTGTGCTCTATGTCCCACCGCAGACCTGGTCTTTGGGCTATTCAACTCTTCTGAGCTTTGATGATATTATTATTAATAATAAAAATAATTTATTTATTACTACTACTTTCCCCCTTCCTTCATGGACTCATGCTTTGAGTTTAGAAATGGGGAAGTTGCTATACAGATGATCAGCAGAGGTATGAGATGCTTTTAAAAGATGACTGAAACGTCAGATTTGGCATAACTCTCAAATAGGTCAGGGTCTTGCTTTCAAGTGCTGTTCAGTTCCAGGGTTCATGTTTTTTATTTCTTCCCTCTGCAAAAGTAGGAGGGCTTCTTACAAAACAGGATGAAACGCTTTACACGTGTGGTTTCCAGCGCTTCCAGGATTACAGTGCTGTGAAAAGAATAGTGTCCGTTTTGTTCGGTGGGTAATGTGTGTCCCTTGGAATAGGGGCTGTGTGCCCAAGAAAAATAAAGACTCTGTTTGTTCATCTGAAAGCTGTGCTCTTTATCTGAAGATTTCTGCCTTTGGGAAAACTAAGCTGTAGGTTTATACTCTGCTATTCTAAAACAGGTAAAGGTGTATGGGTTTTGCCGCTTGCCTGGAAGCGTGGCTGCTGTGTGAACAAATGCAGTGTACCTCAGGAGCTGGTTCATTCAGTTACACGTGCAAACCCATCTCCATCTTTCTGGCATGCCTCCATCTCCAGCTCAACATCCTGACTCTCTCTTGCTCTTTTTCCCCATCTAGTATTCCACTGAACTGAAAAAGCTGTACTGCCAGATCGCCAAGACATGTCCCATCCAGATCAAAGTGATGACCCCGCCGCCTCAGGGAGCCGTCATCAGGGCTATGCCTGTCTACAAGAAAGCTGAACATGTCACTGAAGTGGTCAAACGCTGCCCGAACCACGAGCTGAGCCGGGAGTTCAACGAGGGTAAGGAGGGCAGTGCTTTGCTGGCAGCCCCTCTCCAAAGCTGCTTGGCTGACGAGTGGCCGGTGCGGGGACCTGGAGGCAGCTTCACAGCAAACCCGCTGGAAGCAGACCTCCCCGCAATGTCTTGCGCAGCTTTTTATTTCCCGTGCTTAGCAGGAAGCTTCATACTATAGTTTAGCTGTCCCTGTGCAAGCACGTCCTTGGGAAGAAAGTACCGAAACAAACCTCACGCCTGCCCAGGTTGGATGGATGTTTGTCCCCATGGCAGGCAGTGCCCTTCTGGCGGCATTTCCCTGCTCTGCTTTTGCTCCCGCGATGAGAAGCAGCTGTTTTTGTGCTCAGGAATGAGCTTCCACGTCGCTGGGACAGGGATCTAGTAACAGGATGCAATATCATCTCCAGTCCTTAATCCACGCCTCAAAGACAGAGGGGCTGTTTATCTCCAGCAGGATAACGCTAAGTGCCAGCATCAACTGTAGGCAACCTTCCTGTACATTTAACGCTATCGGTTCAGTATTAATGTTTTAATCTTTTACTTGCTTCTCCTTATGTTAGCGAAGTAGCAGCTGTTTTAAAAATGACCTGGGGTTTTCTGCAAGCTCATGGGCTGGGCTCTGTTTTGCCTTGGCTGCTGAAGTTCACATAAGTTCAGATGAGCATCTGTTTTATTCTACGTGCATTATTTATCTCCTACTGTAAAAAAAACCCCAGTTGGTGTCAGTTAGCAGGATGTCTCAGGAGCCTGGATCCCTTTGCTGGTTACAATGCAGCCAGCTAGACAAGCCCAAAATAACTAAGGGCTTCAGAGTGTAAAATCAGAGTGGAGTGAGATGGTTCTTTGAAATAGTTTTTCATATTAGAAAGTGCTATTCTGGCAAAACTGGATTTTTTGAGGGTTGATACCTGCTTCAGTGATGGAGTTTTAAGAAAGAAAAAACCCTAAAACTATAAATTTTTATTCTGAAATAATTATTTCTCTAGAAATACACTGTATTTTAAGTAAGAAATGAACAGAACAAGCACAAAACAAATTCTTTGGATAAACCCATAACAAGCTTCTCTCCTCAGAATTTAGTTGTATGTTGTAGAAACACTGAAGAAAATTTCCAGGAAAAAACCCTATTTTTTTATTTATTGGAAAGGGGCCTAGAAACAAAGAAGATCATGTTCCCTTCTGCCGCTGCTGTAAGCAAGCGTGATTTTACAAGTTGACCATTAATTAAATGCATGTTTCTCCTGCTGCTTGGATCTTTTTTAGCTCCTTAGGATGAAGACTGATGGGAGGGAAGAGAAGAGGGCTGGCAGTTGGTGGGGAAAAGAGTAGGGATTGAGACTTGAAGACATCTGCTTTGCGCACATATTAGGGAGAGGAAAAGAAAGGCTTTCAGCTGGTGTGACAATCCACCTGGAGCTATCTGCTCAAAGAGTTGCTGTGAGCTGCCATTCAGTTGATGTTTGGGCTCGCTTAGTCTGGGATCTTGAGAAGTCCATGTTCAAGTTTACTCACAAACGTCTAGCGTGAGCTTGAGAACAGTCTGTGTTGCCTTTCATGGCTGTCAGTGGGCAGAAGGGATGCTTTAAGGGCTGAGCGGCGTGTGTGTGCTCTGGTAGACCTCTGGGGCCAGGTGCAGGGGTTTCCCTTGGTGGAAGATCTTGCTGCCCTGCACATGAGCTTGCTTCACTGAACGATGTTTCTGCTTTTTGCCTCTTTGCCCTTGCAGGGCAGATTGCGCCTCCCAGCCACCTCATCAGGGTGGAAGGGAACAGCCATGCCCAGTATGTAGAAGACCCCATCACCGGGAGGCAGAGCGTGCTGGTCCCCTACGAGCCGCCCCAGGTATGTTGTGAGCTCAGGGTGGTGGCATCCCAGCACGCAAAGGGGTGGGGGTTGTAACCCTAGTCGAAGAAGTCAGGATCTTGTGCTTTCCTCTTCTTCATCACAATGAATCCTTTCTTTCTTCTTGTCAGAAATGGGTTTTTAAACAGCCCCACGGGAGTTACTAATTTCTTATAAGGAAGCCTTGTGGTGGGGCCCATTTTGCACTAGCCTGATCATAGTACAGCCAAGGGACTACAAGAGGAGAGCCCAGAAAAAGCAAAGCTTTCCATCCGTCATCTCTTCTGCTTATCCCCTTTGTCTCATCCAGGTTGGAACGGAGTTCACAACAGTCTTGTATAACTTCATGTGCAACAGTAGTTGCGTGGGAGGGATGAACCGTCGCCCGATCCTCATTATCGTGACACTGGAAACCAGAGAGTAAGTAGTGCATCACAAGCGTCACCCTTTGCTTGCGAGGTGGCCTTCTGGTTCCTCTTCTGCTCAGAGCAGCACTGCATACCCTTAGGGACAGTTTGATGCAAGGGGACATAGGATATTTTGAAATCTTTGTAGATGGGAGTTGTCCAACACCTGGGTTATCCTGACTGGGTAGCGGGAGATTTGGGCTTGTTTGCAAATAATCTGGTGTGAAGTTGAGGGGTGCTGCTGGCCCCCATCTGAGCTGATGTTTCCTCTTTCACCTCTCTTCCCAGTGGGCAAGTCTTGGGCCGCCGGTGTTTCGAAGCCCGCATTTGCGCTTGCCCAGGCAGAGATCGCAAAGCAGACGAAGACAGCATCCGCAAGCAGCAAGTCTCCGACAGCACAAAGAATGGTGATGGTACGAAGCGCCGTAAGTAGCTGGCAGAGCTGGGCAGATTGCAGATCGTGCTGTCACTGGGTGCAGGTGCAACCCTGGCACTTGTGCTGAGGGGATGGAGCGGTGCTGTGCAGGGGCTTGGAGGCAGGAGGGCATTAGCTGTTTCTTCTCCCAGGGTGAATCGGCCTGAAAAATGAGCTGGTGCTCACAAAAGAGCAGTTAGATTAGCCCTGCCAGCAGTGGCTGGAGGGGGTGTTTATTTGCCACCTTCAAGGTACGTGGTTGGGGCTCTGTAAGTACTTCTTGAACCTCTTCTGCTTGTTTGGGGCTGTGCTGTCATTCTCTGCTCCTTCAAGCCTGTGTCTCATGCTGTGGCATGTGTTTTCCAGCCACAAGGAATCTAGACTCATCGAAGGTGCTTTGGCAAGTGGCCTCTCTGTGCTCTAAGGAGTGCAACGTATTCACCACACATGCCAGATGCAGAAACCCAACTTTGGTTTCCCGTGTACGCTCAGTGATGGCACCGGGCTGAGCAGCAAGGCAGCAGGTTTTAACAGGGGGCAGACTGGAGGGGAGCATTGTTTTTGCAGTGAATTCTGCATGCTCCCTGCCTGTTGTCTTGCCTTCATGGATCACTGATCCACCGACAGCTCATGAGCACTGCAATACCAAAGCTCGCAATCTTTCCTGCAAAGAGCCAGTGCTTGTTCTAGGTACGGCTTGCTGGGGTTTTGCCATCTATCCAGCGTTCCTTGGCTGATGTGTTTCCCAAGTAGTGTGTCCATCTAACATCTGCAAAATCATGTCTGCCTCATGGAGCCAGGAGCTGCAAGCACAGTTCTGGAGTGACTCAGGCAGAGACCCTTTCAGGGCACTGAGGATTTCAGCTGGCCACACGCTTCATCTTTCTTTTTTGTATCTCTTTTTCTCCCCCTTTTTTTTTTTTTTTTTTTTTTTTTTTTTTTTTTTTTTTTTTTTTTTTTAATGGGACGCTTTTGGGGTTTCTCTTCTAGCTTTTCGACAAGGAACTCATGGCATACAGATGACATCTATCAAAAAAAGACGTTCCCCAGATGATGAGCTCTTATACTTGCCGGTGAGTTTGCTCTATCTTTGCATTTACTCTATGTTTAATATCTTCCTCAGTGCCTTGAGGCAAGTCAGCAGCTTGCTTAGACCTCAGACCTGTGGGGATATTTTTTTAATCCCCACAGCTATCTATTTTAAAATACATATTCCAAACAGAAAATATGAAAAAATCCTAGTAGCTGCTGACTGAGAGTGGCTTGTGCAAGGCACATGAAAATATCCTAAGGGATCTGTTTATCCTGGTGGAAATATTGTTTTGGAGACCTAACTGGGTTTCCTTCTCTGTCATTTCTGGGTCTGTGGCACTTGAGCTTTCTCTAGAGATGATGGGAGTTGTCTCGCTGACAAAAGTGGATGCTTCTGTGCCTTTTATGTGTATTACCACTGTGATGTAGCGATAGAAGTGAAATACACTGTATTAAGTGTAGGATCAGAAAGGGCAAGAAGTATCTGTAATTGGCCATTTAGCTGCTTCCCCATAACCCGCATTTAGTTGGATAAATCATAATCCATGGTGTGCTTAGAGGAGAAGGGAGATCCAAACCCAACAACCCAAATTCAAATACGCTTTTTTCCTCAAGGCGTGTAAGATTCAGCACCAGATCTGCTTACGTCTGTGGCAGGTAAAGACATTTTCTGTCCAACAGATTGGATCAGAATATTGCTTTTTGTTGCCATAGATTAACATCAAACCAGATGACAACCCCAAGATGCTCATTAGCCTGCAGTATCAGGTTATTACTCTTCAACATTATCTGCTGTACTTCTAGCACAAGGCTTAGCAGCTTTATCACGTATGTGTAGTGTGTGAACAGAGAATTTGTGTCCTGCTCTGGTGGTTTACTTGACTTTAAAACTCACTTAGGTGGCCGTCACTATAGATGCAGTCCTTTAAGGCTTTTCTTCTCCCACCCTTTTCTTTTCCCATGATCCAGGTGAGGGGACGGGAGACGTATGAAATGCTACTAAAGATCAAAGAGTCCCTGGAACTAATGCAGTACCTTCCTCAGCACACGATTGAGACCTACCGGCAGCAACAGCAGCAGCAGCACCAGCACTTGCTCCAGAAGCAGTGAGTATGAGTGTGCTTGCCGTGACCTGTGCAGTGAGGACGGTGGGGAAGGGGAAGAGAGGAGAGAGACACAGGTTGTTTGTAGGGATGTGGTGCTCAACCAAGGGCCAAGCAGCATAGCTGCTTGTTAATCCCCTGATCAGAGCTGGTAGAAATAGATGCCAGGAGTTCAGCCAAAGCCAAGTTTCTGGACCAGAACTTGAGAGATTGAGTTTGGGATTCAGATTTCATGACCTGCACAACGGGACAAAGCAGTCCTCCTTCCCCAAGCATACATTCAGACTGCTTGCAAGGTCCCTCTCTAGTTTCTCATCCCACATAATTCACCTTTTAGCCTTGGAGGGTGAATGAGAACAGGCTCAGCACCTTGTTTCTGACTTCCAGCTGGAGCCCAAGGCACAGCAAGGCAATGCCATGGAACAACCCACAGAGAGAAACCCAACGCGCATGCATGCCTGAGCTGGGGAGTGCAGGGTGGGTGTGCTCTTCTCTCATCTGCTTTGTGGGAGCAACAGCAAACTTGGAGCCACCTCCACACCTTCTCCAGGGTGTCCACCTGAGCATCTTGCCAAGAGCATGTGAAGCCAGGACTGTGATCATTGGCTCGGCTGAGTGCTCGGGCCATGCGGCTGTGCGTCTGGTGCTGTTGGAGGGCTGGTGTCTCAGTGGGGTGTAAATACTGTAGGTTCCTCAGCTATAAAAAGGGAAGCTGAAGGTCCAGGAGCAAGGATGAAACATTTAAGAATTGCTTTGTGACCAGTAGGAACTTTGAAGAAAGAGTCTACATGTGCACTTCTATAGTGTTTTTTAAAAACTGTACTTTGTCACTGACTCTACGTTGCACATGAGAAACTTTCCATCCGGGCAGACGTAGTCCCTATCTGAACTCAGCTGGCAGGGCTGCACCAGGATTACTTTGGGTGGTGTAAGTGGCAGGAGGATGGGGACAAGAAGGGCCAAATAAGTGTCTGGTTTCCATTTTCCCCTCCGTTCCCAAAGCTTTGCAGTTACAGAGACTGGGTCAGAGAATGACTTCCCAGACAGACCGTAAGCGGCGTCATTCATGGGCATTGCTTCACCTGCTGTATCGGGTGACAGAAAATAGCCGCCTGGGCTGTAGGTAGCCGCCAGCGGTAGTGTTTAGGATCTCATGCGTTCCTGCCGGTAAGCTCACGCGTCAAGAGGCTGTGGGTATAACTCATTCCTCTGCAGAGGTTAGCACGAGGCCAAGGCACCACATAAGTCCCACTTGAGCCTGTAGGGATTTATTTCGGTGCCTTGGCCTTGTCTCAGGACTTCTGCAATACCACGGCTTTCTGCCAGATCTCTGCATGTGTTCACATTTCGACCTGTGTGTTTTTAGTGTCAGCTGGAGTCTTGTGGAGGTGTGAAAAAAGCCTTGTGCCAGAATGGCTGGAGCACGCAGGGGCTCTGGACTCTTTTTTGAGGCACTTAAAGTTCTCATTATTACTACTTGCTTTTTATCAGTCATCTGCACTGTTTGTATATGCTATAGCTTGTGTTTACTGGCTCCCAGGCATTGCGGCCTTTGGGCACTCGGCTGCGTGTATTCAAAGCTCCATCTGAAGTACAGCCATTTCAGCTGAGAAATGGTTTTGTAAGCAGAAATGGATGGCAGCAGATGACAGCTTTCACTTGGTGCTGACAGTTGCTTTGCCATAATTACTGTTTTCATTCTTCCTATATCAATAGGATGGGTTCCTGGCAACTGAGGTTGGTATTTCTGTTACCTTTAAGACCCGTGTGTATAAGTCCAGCCATTTAATGTAATGAAATTTCTTTCAGCGTATCACCTGGCACTTGTCCAGTTATATACTCATTTTTCTCAGCTGCTGAGTGTGCTCAGATACTGGGGAGAAAGATTGAAAGCTTTTAAGGGTGCCAAGGGTGGGGAGAAAAATAACTTGCAGTGTTTGTCCAGAGCTGCTGCAGTTGTCTCTGCCGACAGCCTGCCATCAAGCAGGGTCCTCTGTGCCGAAATGCCTGTCCAAACATTAGCTTGTTAGGTGCAGTTGGGGTCTGGTGTTTTTTCCTCAATAATCCAGGGCATGACTTAATTTCTGAAGGAATATGTTGAGGGCAAAGGGGCATTTGGGCTGAAAAGACTCATAGACACAGTTGCATGCCAAAAAAGGATTGTAAAGGAGCTCCAGGTCTCTATGTGAGAATGGGGAGAGAAGACACTTTGTAGGAACTGGTTTGGGTAAGAGCAACCTTGCGTGCGAGCAGGTTGCTGGGAGATGTCCTGCCACTGCTTCCTTGTCAGGCTGGCCAAGATCAGCAGCACGGTGACTCCTTTGCAAGTCTGTTCTGGCTTTAAAAGGAAATGCCTTTCGCTTCATAAGTAGGGATGTACTTTCAAAACTCTGTCTTGGTTTGCTTTCTTTCAAAGTGTACGTTAAAACTGGGAGCTAGGAAAGTGCATACGCAGTAACCAGGTTCAAATGTGTAGGAAGCTGTAGGTCCAAGCAGGGCTTTGTGGGGCTGGGATGTTTGTGAGTTACCTTCAGCTTTCTCTTATAATGGAGCTGCATCCACATGTGCTCCGCAGTCAAGCCTTGATGGAGGAATTGCTTGATTATTTTATTTTTTTTTTCAGTTTACTTTTCTGAGCAATGATTAACATAGAAAAGCTATGTAGGTGTGGGAAGAAGTTTCCTTTTTGTTCCTACAACATGGAAAGCTTCATCTTTTTTTGAAGAGTAGGAAAAGCAAGGCTGAGATTATAATGGTGAAAGGTAATTGTAAAAATATAAATCTGTCATTTTGGAAAACAACTGTATAATTGCTCTCACGCACATACAGACCAGCATTTCATTTGGCAGGCCAGCAGATGCAACTGTCTTACTCTTCTGGAATAAAAAGGACAAATCTGGTAACAATCGGAAAGCTTTGTGTCCCACAAGATGACCGAAATACTGTAATGGTCCATGTTGTGCCAGACCACAATCTTTCTCTGTCTCCTCTCCTCTCTCCGTTTGCTCCCTTCTGCATGGTTTTCTCTTATTTACTGTTATGCCAAATACCTTCATGATCACAGGTGGGAAGTTGGGTTTTTTGCTGCAGTTTCTATTCTTCCATTTACACTGCCAAATCCTGGGGCCCGTATTTGAAGAGCAGCACACTTAATTAGAAGACTTACTTTTCATGGTCTGCCACAGTTGCTTTAAAACATGGGTTTGCCAGAAGATACATGCTGCCAGAGATACCAGAGCTGGCCAGTGCTTTGTTGAGGAGGGAAGGTTTCTTTGAGACTCTGATGTGACATAAGTTTACCATCAATATTCTCAGGGAGTATCTGCACAGTCTTTAAGGGTCTCACTGGAAATGACTCTTTCACATTCAGCAAAATTTCTTGTGGTGGCTTTGACCCTGCTGAGCACTATTTTCAGAACAGTCTTTATTTCATTTGGCTGCAGCATAGAATCATAGACTATCACAAGTTGGAAGGAACCCATAAGGATCATCAAATCCAACTCCCATGATTGAAGGCTCTTATGTTTGAGCGGGATCTTATATCCCCGCAAGCTTTTCTCTCATATCAGCAGGGCTGCAGCTACCAGCTCACTAGCTGCCTTTCAATCTAGTGAGCAGCACAGCTCATTATCCAAATGAGAAAGAATTAACCTTGTGAGTGACATATGACAGAGCCAAGTTGTCCAGTGCCCGGAGTGCTCCAGCTGAGACGGGAGCTGCAAGGAACTGAGGGTTTGCTGTCACAGGGTGGAGGCTGGTGGGGAAGGTGTTCTTCATACCGCCACCTAGTTATGTTCATTTTTGGTGTGGAAGCTAAGAGAAGATTTCTGCATGGTTTGGTTTGGTTTTGTAGTGCTGTGCTTGCATGCATTGTGAACTCCAGGCACTTGAATAGTGTTCTCACTAGAGAATTACCAAGATGAAAGAAAGCAAGAAAAAGTGTGGGTTTAGATATATGAAGATGTGCTGCATTTGCTTTGCTGGCTCCGAGGGTGCTGTGCCTTCTGCATCAGCTGGCAGCCCCAGGGATCCCTCAGCTTTAGAGCAGAGGGTCCGCTGGCTTGGAAAAGGGGAGTAGTTGAGATGTAATCTATATGGCCCTTTCACTCTAGGCACTGTCCTCTCTCCCTACCACCAGCATCTGTTTTTTAAGTAATTAAAGTTTGAAATCGGCTCAATGGAAGCTGCTTCTCTCCTTTTCCCCTTTGGCTGAGTGCTTTTTTTCCTCTTACATTTGTCACAGAGAACAGTATCAGGGCACCATTTGCACATGTGAGACTGGGAAATGGAAATCAGATTTCCCTATCAACTGGTTGTTTTCTCTTCCTTGCCAAGCACTCACTTGTACCTGGGGCTTTCCAGCTTTCTAAATCTCCTTGTCACATAATCTCACTGTAGGTGCTAAGACAGCTGCTCTTCCCCTCTTTCAAAGTCCGTACTGTGATCATGAAGGTGGAAAGTGACTGTTTCTCTCTTGGTGGCTGGTGAAGGGTGCTGTACATTCATCTCTCTTTTCTCTGGTTCCTTCTCTACAGTCTCCTTTCGGCCTGCTTCAGGAGTGAACTCATGGACTCAAGGAGAGACCCTCCCAAACAGACCGATGCCATCCTAAAACATTCCAGCCCCCCAAACCCATCAGTATATCCATAAACCAAGCTGGTGGTGTCACTTTGCCCGGCTGGCAGGACTAGGAACAGTGGGGCAAATACACAGCCTGATAGCGACAGAGTAAATAGCGAGAGTAATCTCCTAAAGGGACTCAAACTTTGCAAAAAAAAAAAAAACAACAGACACTTCTACAGACCTCTTAGCTGTAGCCTGTAGCATCGGGAGGTCAGGAACCACAATGTCGTCTGTCTCGGTGTAACGTTTCCTTCCTGTTTTTGTAACCTGTTGATATTCTTTCCTGTTACTTCTGTATTCGTGAAACTTGGCGGGGTTTCTCTGAGCAGGTCTCAATTTTAAAATGCCCCTTGTCTTGTTTAAATTAAAAACTTGTTCAT